GGTTGTTCCGGCACTGGTGGCCCCGGTACCCGTAGACCCAGTCCAGTCTGAGGCGGCAGCCCGGGGCGCTGCGCTCCGACATGCCTGGTTCTGGTTCTGGTTCCGGTTCTGGATCCGGGCCGGATGAAGAGCTGTATCACTGAGGATGGTTCTGGTTCCGGTTCTGGATCCGGGCCGGATGAAGAGCTGTATCACTGAGGATGGTACTGGTTCCGGTTCTGGGTTCTAGTGAGAAAGTTTCCTCTGATTCTCCATCATGTTTTGTTAAATCAGATTAAAGTTCAGAGCAGGAAGCGGATCGTGTCGGAACCAGAACCGAGGTCCAGTCTGGCTCCAGTCCTGGTAAACGGGTCAGGTTCGGACGGAAACAGTCAAAGTTCTGATGTGAAGCCAGAGGAAGTTCTGGAGGATCATCTTCATCCTCCTCCTCTTCATCAAATCAACTTTTCCCCGAATCTGAGGAATTTTCCTGTTTCCTGATCCTGGAATATAATCCCACTGCGGGATAATCCTCATCCTCTCCCCCAGCGGCGCTCCGCCTCCCGGATCACATCCTCCCCGCCGGGGAACCGGAGGACCGAATCACCCGCGGAGCAGCGGAGGCGGCGGCTGGCCGCCAGGGAACCGCCGGAGCTCCGGCAGCGGCAAAGACAGCGTTCAATCCCCGCAGATGGAGCGCGCTGAGCGGGCTGAGGAGCAGCGCAGCCCCCGGGGATGCGCGCTGGTTCCCGGCCAGAGGAGCGCATCGCCCCGCTGCTGCCGCGCCCTTAGAGCCGCAGCCGGACCGCAGCTCGGATCCGGACCGGAGGGTTCTGGTCCGGTGGAGACCCTCCCTGAGCAAACTGATGGAGGCTGATGGGCTCACGGTGACGGGCACGCGCCTTCAGAGGCACGCCCGCGCGCACATCCGGTTATTAAAAATAAACAATAAAATAAAATAAAATGAAAAATCCCGAAGCTTCACCAGAAAAAACAACAAATAAATAAACATCTAATTAATCCAAGAATTTATAAATTAGTTTTAAAAAATTATTTGGAGGGTTTTTTTTAAATAATAATTAAATGTATTTATTGAACCATTTTCTGGAATCACATGCAGCTATTTTTAAAATAAACTTCTAAAAGAAAAAAAACAAAAAAACATACATTTTCTAACAGTAAATTATTTCGGTGTCAGTTATTTATTACCGTATTTTCAGGACTATAGAGCGCACATCATACAAGCCGCATCTGCAAAGTTAAAAAAAAAACTGGATACGTACATATATCTATATCTATGGATATCTATATCTCTATATCTCTCTATATCTATATCTCTATATCTCTCTATATCTATATCTCCATATATCTATATCTCTATATCTATGAGCCGCTGCGTACTGAATGAATCTCGCCTTCAGGCCGTGCAGATTAAAACCTGAATCTTATGAATTTCTGTTTTCCATGATAAATTTGGATAAAGTTGTTGCTCGTTCTGAATGAAAATCGGCGCTTTCTTCTTTGATTTCGAGTTTTGACTCTCAATGATTCTTTTCCTGCTAGAGCTCCCCTGGCGGTTGAAGAAAAATGAGCTTCGTGGTTCAAACCGTGGGAGAAAAGTTGCGGCTTATAGTCCGGGAAATAAGGTACTTCTGAAAATGGTAATACATTTAAATGTTTTACTTAACCAAACTACGTTTAAATACAATAGATTAAATAAATTAGTCTGATTTTAATTTTATTTATTAAGATCTAAAAAGTTTCCAACTCAATAATTTATCTGATTAATTAGTTTCATTTCAAACATCCTAAACTGAAGGTGGAAGAGAAAAATAAAAACCAGGAGAGGCTGAAGAAACATCCACTGTACTGAAGAGAGACGGATTTTTCTGATACAACGTTCAGAACCAGAACATTTAACCTGCAGTCAGACATGGTGGTGGCAGAGTGGTGATGTGGGCCACTGGGCTGCTTCAGGTTCTGATGAATCGCATTTGAGTTCTGGTTTGTAACAGAACATCCTGAAGGGAAACATTCAGTCATGATCAACCAGGAAGTCCAAACATTAACGCTTTGAATTGGTCTAGTCAAAGTCCGGAGCTTTTCTGTTCTTTAATAAAATTCTTTCAACATTTGGTCTTTTCCAGGTTCTACTTGTCACATGAACAGTTCATTAGATGTGAAAAAGAACAAAAGAATCATTATCAACCTGACCAGAACCGGAACCGACCCCTGGCTGAAGGTTCGGATTCAATTGATGCTTTACGTTAACTGACGAGCTTTTACTTTGAAGGGTCAGATTGTGGCTGCAATCTGACCCTGCGAGCGCGCAGACTGAACAGCAGGACGCAATGCATCATGGGAGTAGGAGTTTCTTGTGCCGGTGGCCGCAGGAGGCGCTGTCCGCCGCGCCGAGCAGAGGAAGAGGCGAAGCATGAAAAATATTCAATCAATTAAAATCATTTCATCCTGTTTTCATTATCAGTCTGATGACAAATCATCTGTTTTTAATATTTGATGGTTTGAAATATAAAAAATCTTTTGATTTTATGACTTTTATTTGATCAAAAACAAATTAAACTTTTAATGTTTGATCTGAATTACTAAAAACCATCTGCTGATGTTTCAGATAAATAAATTATTTCTTCCTGCTTTGATGTAATAATAAATTCTCTCAAGTTGTCGTTTGTGTTTTCTATTTAATGTAAACATTTGGGTTGAAAAATAGAAAAAAACAACTTTAATGAGAATTTCTATCAGGTTCAGCTTTGGACTTTGACTAGGCCGTTCCAGCAGTCAGCTGTCTGGTTGTTCAGGAGGTTCTGAGGTCAGGAGGTTCTGAGGTCTGGAGGTTCTGAGGTCAGGAGGTTCTGAGGTCAGGAGGTTCTGAGGTCAAGGTCGTTTGACCCGACGGTTTGCAACAGGAACCAAACGGAGTCGATTTGTTTTAAAAGCTTTTAATGGCTTTTTGCACAGATGTAACAGACGGGGAGAAATCTACGGTGCAGATCCAACTAGCAGTGACCCGCATCACACACCCACCTATGACCTATGACCCCGCCCACCAACCCCGACGTGGCATTGTGCAGAATGAAGAAATATCTGGCTACTATGGTTACAGAGGAAAGCACACTATTTATCAAACTGTCAGATTTTAGCACAAAATAATAAAAATGAAGCAGCTTCCCCCCCCCAATAATGATTGACCTTTGACCTGTTCGGCCTCATTCCTGCTGCATTACACCAACTCTATTCAGGCTCTATGGAACTCCATTAATGACGAAATCACTGAAACAAAAGTCAAACATTTGGGCCCAAACATTCAAATCTAACATTTATTCTTCTTGATGATCAGTTTTTAGAGGAAAAGCTGCCAATCAGCTGTTCAGGCCTGAAGCCGCCGCCGCCCGAAGCAGCCGCCGCCGCCCGAAGCAGCCGCCGCCGCCCGAAGCAGCCGCCGTCCAAAAGCAGCCGTTGCCTGAAGCAGCCGCCGCCTGAAGCAGCCGCTGCCTGAAGCGCCCCCTGCAGGTCGGAGAACTGCTTCCTTGTGAGATTCTTCCGATCAGAGTCTTTTTCATAGAAAAAATATTCTCCCACCATCAGCCAGAATCCAAAATGTAGTTTTCTAACAAACATGAACATTCTTCATTTGGAAACATGTTTTAAGAATCATTAGTGTTATGGTGGTTACCATGAAAATCTGAGAAAATAATCTGGATTGTTATTAAATTAACGGTTTCTTGTATAATGTGGACTTTAAATCACATCCCAAACAAAAACGTTTTAATTTGCATCTTTTTCCACATCTGATCAAGTTCACATTAAATGAGTTGGAGTGACTTTTGTCATGAATGGAGCTCCGTAGAAGCGCCACAGGTTTCACTTTAACGACGGAGAGCTGAAGCCAAATTCACTTCCAGACATAAAGATCCACTGAACAGCTTAAAGTTACTTTATAGAACATCTTCAAACTCCAGACTAATAACCTTATTAACTCTGAGACACAAAACCAAACAAAGGTCAGAGGTTAATGTTTCAGAAACAAAGTAGAAAAGAAACCCGACTGATTGTTGGAAAACTGATTAAACATTCGGTTTCCTCCTTCATACAGAATCACTGAAGCTTATCACGGTTGGTCATATTATTAGTACTAATAAGTGAAGAAATTAAACACAAGTTTATTTAAACAGTTTGTTATACACAAGTTATACATACAGATGAAGCAGGGCAAGGTGGCGCTCACGCTGCTGCAGGAATTAGACGGCCCCGAGCAGCTGCTCAGCCCGCAGTTAGCCCAGTTAGCCTGGTTTAGCCCAGTTAGCCCAGGTTAACCCAAGTTAGCCTGGTTTAGACTCAGTTAACCCAGTTAGCCCGGTTTAGCCCAGTTAGCCTGTTTTAGCCCAGTTAGCCCGGTTAGCCCAGGCTGAGCAGCAGCAGGCGGATCCGGAGCGGACCCCGCCCTGCTCCAGGTTCCCCTCCACACAGGGAAACACGGCATCTTGCAAAGACAAGGCGTCGCAGAAACGGCTGAGGATGGAGCCAGACCGGCGCGAGCGACAGCGTCCAGGAGAACCGGGAGCGGAAACACGAGAAGCTGGACGACGAGAGACAGCAGGAAGGAAAACGGAGCGGGATTCCTCCAGGCGGTGACCGCGTCCGTAGGACAGCAGCAGCCGGACACGCCAGCGGTGGTTCTGTCCCTCCTAGCGAAGGTTCCCGCCGAGCGGGAACTCTGAGCCACCGGACGGTTGAGAGGCACAGAGTGGAGAGTTTTGGCTCGGAGCTGCATGCTGGAGTCACGCTTTGAGAGGAAGATGAGGAGGAGGAGGAGGAGGAAGGCTGTTTGGGATCAGGACATGTTAGGAATCATCATCAGGATGGATTAGAGAGACAGATCTACATTCTGAGCTTCGCAGCTGCTCGGAGCAAACCGACTGGCGGCTGGATGAACGACGGACAACGAGGAGGAGGAGCGACCCCAAACAGCCGGGGGACGGGAGGACAGGAGAGGACAGGAGCGTCTACTTCTTCTTGCTGAACAGACTGAAGCGTTTCTCCTTGTCTTTCTCCCGTTTGCCCGGGCTGGACTCGGCGGTGGAGGCCGCCACGGTGGCCGGCAGCGTCTGGGCGCGGGCGGCGGGGGCCGGCGTGCTGTGGCTGCTGGGCGTCACCTCCGGCCTGGAGCCCGCCGCCGCGATGGCCGAGATCCAGGCGGTCATCTCCTCCTGGGGACAGAAGGGAAGTACCTCAACACAGGAACTCTTTTCTCCACACAGACACTGATCGCTTCGTTCCAGATGTGAGGAGAAACTCAACCCGGCCTCATCTGGTCAGTCTGGACCCGGCAGGAACCGGGTTGATATGTGACTAGATATTAAAGTGTCTCGAGAGCCCAGTTAGCCCAGTGAGGCCAGTTAGCCCAGTGAGGCCAGTTAGCCCAGTGAGGCCAGTTAGCCCAGTGAGGCCAGTGAGGCCAGTGAGGCCAGTTAGCCCAGTGAGGCCAGTTTAGCCCAGTGAGGCCAGTGAGGCCAGTTAGCCCAGTGAGGCCAGTGAGGCCAGTTCAAGAAACAGCAGAGACCAGTGGATTATCCAGTTCCTGGTGTTGGTCAGGACTCTGCTGCTGCAGCAGCATTTTGCTGCTGCAGCAGCAGAGTCCAAACAAACATCATGACAACAACAAACTGCTGGACAGACGCCGCTGTGGGTTTCATGTCTCCTGTGGGTTTCATGTCTCCTTCAGACAGAAACTGTTTTCTGTTGGAGGTGCAGAAGCTGATCTAGCAGGAAAACAATGTTCATGTGCAACAGAATATTGGCCTAGTCCAAGTCTCAGTTTTTATGACTGATCAGTGGGAGGAGCTGAGGATGGAGCCCAGAGGAAATCACCAAAACTAAAAGTATTCCCAGTTTTTCCAGAACCAGGCGGTCCGACCCAGCGGTTCCGTCCGTCAGAGGAAAAACATTTTCCTCCGGATGGAACAAGTTAAATATGAGCGTCTGTGATGTGGAGGAAGTGAAACCTGAGGAGTTTCAGTTTGTTACTCACGTCGTCTTTGGCTTGGAAGAGATACTCGTTCCCGTCGGTGAGCCTGCGGAGCGTCAGACATGATGGTCAGGCAAAAACAGAATCTGATTCATCTCAAATTTAAATTTCATCTCCAATCCAGCGAACATGCAGAGCACATTGTTTCACAGCTGTTTGCAATCCTCTGATCATCCCTGGATTTTTCATGCTGATGCATAAATGTGAGTTTATTGAAAATAAACTGCAACTTCAGCAACATGGGCTTTCAGTGATGCCTCCTCCCACCAACAGGTGGCAGTGTTTCCTCTGCTGCTTCAGCCCGACTTCATGTGTTTATATGAAGTTCTTGAAGAATAAAATGTTTCTGTCACATCTGGTTTTCTTTTCTCCTCTACATGAACCCTGAAAGAAAAAAATCACTAATTTCTTTGCAAATATTTCTAAAAATATCACAAGATCATAAAATCCTGGAGGAACCGATTGGACACATGCAGAGACTTTCATCTCGCTGCGGAGGGAAAACATTAAACCTGAGATTTAAGGGAATGTGATGAACTCTATTGTCTCGGCTCCATCAGGCGTTTGGTCGGTTCAGTAACTTGTGCAGCTGAATTGATTCTGATCTCTGATGTTTGGCTCATTATGGATCAAACTTCCATTAATAGATTAGAAACCTGGAGGTTCTGCTGCCTGTTTTATTGGTTTCATTCTGATTTTTTCTCAGCTTGTCTTCATCTTTAATAACTGCTGCATGAATCAGAGGCTGTTTAACAGGCCATGAAACCAAACCTTGTTGTTTCCACTGTTCTGTTTGAACCACAGATACAAACAAGTTTCATGATGATCATCATTAATGTCCGTCTGAAACTCACTTGAGTTTGAAGACGTTTTTCTTCTTCTTGTAGTCGAGCGCCACCTCGCACAGCGCCTCCTTCAGGCTGACGGGGATCTCGCTGTGGTAGGGGACGCCCTGCGCCGCGCTCTTCTGGTCCTTATAGAAACCCATCTCCTGCTGGTTGATCACACAGAACACGTTGTGCCAGGACCTGAGGAGACAGACCCAGAACCGGGCTCAGAATCGGGCTCAGAACCAGAACTGGATTCAGACCCAGAACCAGGCTCAGAACCAGAATCGGGCTCAGAACCAGAACCGGGCTCAGAACCAGTACCGCGCTCAGAACCAGAACCGGGCTCAGACCCAGAACCAGGCTCAGAACCAGAACCAGTTTCACTCCCGGGTCATCATCCCGCCTTGGCTCTCAGGAAAATGTTTGTCCTGGAACATTGAGTTGTTTTTCAGGTCAAATGTTGATATTTATCTGCTAAACTCTCAACATGTTAAAGCTGCTTTAACATGTTGAGAGTTTAGTAAACACGTTTTGAGTCCTGGATGCTTTTATAGATTTTAATCAGTTTTGTCCTCAGTTAGGAATCTGTCCAGAGTATTAAAATAATCTGTAAGTTTCCATGTGTCTGTTTCCTCAGAGGACCAGCTGAGCTCAGCAGTCAGTCGTCCTGCAGCTTCACGTGTTTTTTTTGGGATAAATAACGTTTAAAGTTGACAACATTTGAAAACATGACTTGGTAGTTAGTTATTGGAGGACATTATTAACTAAACCTAAACCAAGGACAAAACCATTAAAAACAATTCACACCTGTTGGAGGCCTTCTTGTTGTGGCCCTCCCACTCGTGTTTGCGGTGCAGGAAGGCCTCCAGCAGGCAGGTGGCGCCGTCCTGCTGGCTCTTCGCCGGCAGCGTCGCCGCCTGGCTGGCCTTGGCCTTACGACCGGCGCCCGGTGACCCCGCGGGGCTGGGCTCCCCGTTCACCGCCTCGTCCACGTTCTCCTGCAACCAGAGGGGGCGGTCAGCGCGGCGGAAAGGTCACAGAGGTCAAAGGGGTCACAGAGGTCACAGCAGCTGCAGATCAGTCAGTAGAGCTTCAACATGCAGAGCAGAAAACAATCACAGGCTGGGAAGACGCTACAGATGCTAATGCTAACAGAGACGCTATGCTAGCAGCTCCACGAGGCCAGAATCCATCAGGAAGATCCGAAATACGGACAATAAACCTGAACGAGGATCAGAAACGTCACAAACACATAAAACTTTAGGTTAAAGTTCAAACGGATTAATGAAACCAATTCTGATCATTATTCTGGAAAATGTCACATTTTAAATGAATAATCCTGATCAATTAGCAGATGGACGGCAGGTCAAAATACTAAACTGTTTATCCAGGATGTTTAAATGGGTTTTATTAATTTCCACCACCAGGAGGCGCTAAAGTCAACCAGACATAAAACAAAAATGGCTAAACAATAAAACTTTATTCCTCTGCTGTTCAGGCCAACAGCTGAAACCAAAAACTGATCAAAATAAATCTGAATATTGGAAAAAGTTTCACTGCTGTTCTGTAAAACCACCGACTCCCCAAAACGCCTCCTGATTGGCCGATGCCAACTTTCATCACTTCCTACAATCATAACCAACAGCAGACCGACTTCCTGATGCCCTCTGACCCGGAACCGGATCAGTCCCGTCGTTCCCAGCCTCAATCTGGACTTCATCATCCTCATCATCATCCTCATCATCACCTGATCACAGCCAGCGGTTCATTGTGCTGCTGGTCACATGCACTGATCTCTGGTTCATGCTGCATCACTGCAACGCATCCCACAGCATGACGGCGCCACCACCAGGTCACTCAGCGTTAGAGAAGCGGCGGCGCGGCAGAGGAAGGTCACACCAAACATCTCAAACAATCAACCAGTAAATTGCTTGGAAGTGAAACTGGGAGCTGTGGTGAGAACTGATTGGTTTGTTTCCACTCCACTGCAAACGAAGGTCATTACCCGGTCACAGACGGAGGTTAGGGTCCAGTCAAAGGCCGCAGGATCCTGGCAGCTTTGGGAGGCGGTCTGGAGCGGTCCTGGGGGGTTTTACTGGGAGAACTGGTTTCCTGACCCTGAGCTCCATCAACCAACAGGAACCAGGTCCAGAAACGTTTTACTGAACTGCATCAGACTGAGGAAGTCTGACTACACTGGAAACTTTTCAAAATAAAATGTCTGGGTTTTAAAGTTCTGAGTTTGATAAAAACATGAATTCTGTAGTTTTTACCGTTTCAAGCAGCTTTACAGAGAATATCAGGTGAATTCAGTTTTGACACCTGATAAGATCTAGAAACTGATTCCTGACGTTTTATTTCTGCCATTAATCTGTGGAACCAAAAATCAGTCAAACAAAATAACTTAATAAATTTATTGAATTTTTATCTTTACGGCTGGAAAACAGGAATTAATCTGGATCAACATTAAATTCAAAGATATTTGAACATTAAATCTGAAGAGCATCTGTTGGTTCTTCTCTTTCATTTCAAACTGAAACTGTTTAGAAAAGAACCAGGACCAGAACCGGGACCAGAACCAGGACCGGAACCGGGACCAAACCAGGACCAGAACCAGGACCGGCCCCGACCCCGGGACCGACCACTGGGCTCTGAACCTGCAGCTGAAACGCTAAGCATCGTTGACCTCTGACCTCCAGGAGGAGGAAGCGTCCACTGATGGAGCAACAATCAACCAGAGACAGAAACATGGATGAGACACGAGGAGAGACAAACCAGGACGGGTCAGAGAGGACACTGGTTCTGACTGGGTTTATTGGGAATGTTAGTCTGGAGACGGACGGACAGAGAGACACAGGAAGGGACAAAAAGACATGATGCAAATTAAAACAACTGAAAATACAGAGATGAGCAGCCGTCCACTCACACCGAGGGACAGAGTGGGACAATGAGGGACAATGAGGGTCAATGAGGGACAGAGTGGGACAATGAGGGACAATGAGGGACAGAGTGGGTCAATGAGGGTCAATGAGGGACAGAGTGGGTCAATGAGGGTCAATGAGGGACAGAGTGGGACAATGAAGGACTGAGTGGGACAATGAGGGACAGAGTGGGACAATGAGGGACAGAGTGGGTCAATGAGGGACTGAGTGGGACAATGAGGGACTGAGTGGGACAATGAGGGACAGAGTGGGACAATGAGGGTCAATGAGGGACAGAGTGGGACAATGAGGGTCTTTGAGGGACTGAGTGGGACAATGAGGGACAGAGTGGGACAATGAGGGTCTTTGAGGGACAGAGTGGGACAATGAGGGTCTTTGAGGACAGAGTGGGACAATGAGGGTCTTTGAGGGACAGAGTGGGACAATGAGGGTCTTTGAGGGACAGAGTGGGACAATGAGGGTCTTTGAGGGACAGAGTGGGACAATGAGGGACAGAGGACAGGACTCAGTGACTCGGGTGTGAAATGATGATCTATTGATGAACATGTGAAGAAATGAGTAAAAGTTTAAAGTTTTCATCTTTTTTAGTCATAAATGATGTAAATCTGATTGGTTTAGATTTTTTCAGTCCATAAATAAATAAATGTGAGAGAAACGGAAACAGCAGCAGAGACAAATTATCTGCTCATTTCCATCAGTTTTCACTCAAAGCGTTAAAACCTCATTAGAGGATCCGGTTCTGCTCAACATCCCATCATATTATTACATAACAAGCAACGTTGATTATTGACTTCACTGTCAACAAACAGAGAACAGCTGGACGTCCCTTAAAGGGACAGTCCCCAAATTTATCTCTGTGGATGAAAACGGTGAGAACTGATGAGATCACAGTGAAATCCAGCGAGATCCTTCATCAGGAAATCGTTTCATTCGTGGTTTCAGGATCAGAAAACGTGACGACGGAAAAGTTTCCTGAACTTCATCATGGAACAATCGGTCTGAAAGACGAGTTTGGTTTCAGTTCAGAGGAAGCGCGTGTTAGTTAGAGAGGATGATGAAGATGAAGAGACGTGGCGATGCAGACGCTGATTAACACGCCATGAACCGCTTTCAAAAATAAAAGCACAAAAGTAATAAATCATCATTTTAAGATCTAATCTTTTCAAAAGTTATTGATTATATTTTATATTTAATTCTAAACATATTTGTCTATTTTGATGATTTATCAGGTAAATAATTGAACTAAATCCTTTTAATATATTTATTTAAGACAACAAGATTTCCTGATAATTAGTTGATTTTCTACATTTAGTTTTGCAGGATTTCTGGATCAATAATGTCAGGATGAATGTGAGCTGAGCCCTGCGAGGCGTTCAGGTGTTCATGTTCTGCGAGGCGTTCAGGTGTTCATGTTCCACAGCGTGAGTTTGTAAATGATGACGTAAACGAGCAGAGCCATTAGCAGCTGAGGGACAGGATGGCGGGCGGGTCGAGCTGAGGGAGACAGGAGGAAGAGGAGGACAGGGATGAAGAGGGCTGTGTGTGTGTGTGTGTGGTGTGTGTGTGTGTGTGTGTGTGGTCCCAAACCAGACGCTCACAGTCGCACTCACACCGCACTGTTCACATGGTAGCACCTTTAACATTTGTCAGAGTAAAGCAGGAATGTTGAGTCTAAAGGACAAAAACTGCAGCAATTTGTTTCCAGGAAGTATACAGGACCCAAAACATTTGAATACTTAGAGACAGCCAGCAAAAGGAGAAACTCAGCGCTAAAAACACGAGCTAATGCTAAAAACACGAGCTAATGCTAAAAACACGAGCTAATGCTAAAAACATGAGCTAATGCTAAAAACACGAGCTAATGCTAAAAACAAGAGCTAAGGCTAAAAACAAGAGCTAATGCTAAAAACATGAGCTAATGCTAAAATCATGAGCTAATGCTAAAAACATGAGCTAATGCTAAAACATGAGCTAACGTTAAAGCTGAAGTTACAGAGTCTGGGAATGGAAATGTAGATTGAAGGAATGATTGCTCTGCAGTAAAATTCATTCATAACTTCCTAAATAAAGTGAATAAAGTGAATATTGTCATCTGGATGTTTTGTATGAAAGTTTTCTCTGATCTGTGGCAGGAAGTAGCCAGGTGATGCACTTCCTGTTGGGCTGACAGCAGATGATCCATTAGAAATGAAATCCAGGCGACACAGAGGAATGCTGAGTGTTTCTGCAGACTGCGGTGTGTGTGTGTGTGTGTGTGTGTGTGTGTGAGTGTGATCATGTCTGAGGCCGACTCCGCGCTGCAGCGGCTGCAGCAGCTGCGATGGCCCTGCGGCTCTGCAGGGAGCTGCTGTAAGTCTGGTAGGCAGGAGAGCGGTAACTAACCCGGGGCGACTCCTGGTCGGACGGCAGCCCGTTCTGGGACACCGGTCGCCCTCCCTGCAGAAACACCACACACACACACACACACACACACACACACACACACACACACATGCACACATGCGCACACACACACACACACACACGTTTGGTCCCCACAGATAAACAGGTCCCCACATGTATGTGTAAAGTCAGGCCAAAGTTCCCACTAAGGGAGAAAAACAAGAACACACTCAGGGGGTTCTCCCCCGTTTCAGGCTAAACATAAACTGATCTGTCTTCAGATCGAAGTTGTTCCTCCAGATCAAAGTTTACTGATAGAGCAGAGTAAATGAAATGAAATAAATTCTGTCATGCTGTAGTTTCCCTCTCCACTGTTTCTCATTTCTTATCTTTTGTTTTTATATTTTCTCCTTCACATGACCCTTCATCTGCTGGTCAACCTGAATTTCCCCTCTGAGGGACACTAGATCATATTTCTATTATAACTATTCTGACTCTGCCCCAGTGCAGTACTGGTGTTACTGGGCGGCTCCCAGTGTGACACGGTTTCCCAGCTCCCACCTGATGGATCGGTCGTCGCTGCCGGTTACAGCCAGAGGTTTTTTGGGATGAACGTCCAGAGCCCAGAGTTCGCCCTCGCTGTGACCCTGCATGATGAGCAGCGGCTTGTCGCGCTCCCGCACCATCACCTGCTCACCAGATGAACACATGAACATAAACTCTGATGATGGAACTGTGGAAATGAAACTTTAAGCTTTAATGTTTTTTGCTGATAAATCTGTTCAGAGAAAACTAAAGATAAACTCTAAACCAGGACCTGCTGCAAACTAATTTCTGCCAAACCGTCAAATTGTTTGTGTATCAGTTTTATAATCATAGATCTGTTTGAAACACAAAATATGAAATTATTTACTGATAATGTAAGTCTTGTTTTAGTGAGGGATGAAGGAGCATTTGGTGCAGAACGAACATGAAAATATTCCATGAACAGAAAAATTATTTGCAGGATCTGAATGTTTATTACGGCTGATAGTCGGTGATGAATCTACATTAACCTTCATAAACCTTTAATTTGTGGCTGCAATTAGAGACTCTGAGCTGCAGAATGAAACACGTTTCTGTTCCTCCTCACCTCAAAGATCTCGCTGTCCTGAGTTCCAGCCAGAATCCGGTCGGCTCGCCAGCAGACGCTCCGGATGGACAGACCTGGACCAGAGGAAACACGGTCAGACCTGAGTCCGTAGACAGGAAGGAGTTAATATGAAAACTAAACGATGCAGAGGAATACAGAACGGTAGAGGTAGCATGATGTGGGACTGTTAATCCAACTAACATGTAACTGCAGTTTGTTTTCATCTGCAGTTACCCTTGTATCCCTGCTCCGCCTCCCTCAGGTCGATCTTGGTGACGGGTTTGAAGTCGGCGTCCCAGAGCCGGATGCAGCCGTCTCTGCCTCCGGTGGCGAATCCTTCCTCACAGGAAAACAGGCTGAAGATCCCGGCCTGCGGAGGAACCGAGACCTTCAGGAAACACAATCTGAAGGAAATCTACATCTTTAATCATGAATCCTGCATAATGTTTCTGACATGTCGATCATTAAAGTCCATGGCGACGGGAAGCTCACCCCGTGGGCCGATTGGACCGTCTTCAGCAGCGTCAGGCCTTTCCACACGTAAACGTCTCCGTTGAGCGCGCCGGAGTACGTGACGTCGTCTTTAGCCGACGCCACACACAGGATGGTCTGCAGGTCGCCCGTTTTCCCGAAGATCCCTCGCTTTGGCGTCAGCGCGTTCCCACAGAGCGACCAGAACTACCGGGACAAACAGAACCGGTGGTTCTATGAGCCGGACCACTCAGGGAACTTCACTGGATCTTAAAGGTTTTATTATTAAATCATTTCAAATTACAGATTGCAATATTTCAGCAATAATATCAGTATCGGTTTGATGAATAAAACTGAACTGATATTAATAACTGATATTTATTCCCATTTTGTTGCTGTTTGTTTCTGGAGTTGGTCATGTGACAGTGATACTGATGCAGCAAAGGATTGTGGGAAGTTTATCTGAAGAATGATAAATTATATAACTGCTTCATGAAGTTCACATCTCCTGCTGTATTTAAACTGTTTAAATTTCTTCTTAAGGTTTTATCTTTGTGTTTCAAAATGTTTAATTTTTATGTAAATTGCAGTTTTTGGTCAGAAACTGCCTCAGTGCTGCCCTCTGTGGGTCAGACAGTGTCACTGCAGGTGAACTCGCTAACCCCCTTTCCCTCCCCCCACTTGGCCACGCCCCTAACCTGCTCTTGGCCCCGCCCAGTTTTGGTAATGTTTTTTGGGGGCGGGGCTAAATCGGTTCCAGTTCCAAAGATCAGAACCAGAAAGTGAAACAGAACCTGTCAGCGTCTCACCTTGATGTGTTTGACTCCGCAGCTCACCAGGCGGTTCTGCTGAAACGGATCCCAGCAAACATCAAAGATCTGCAGAGACAGAGAAGCTGTCAGAACCCATCAGAACCCTTCAGAACCCATCAGAACCCATCAGAACCCTTCAGAACCGGCTCCTACCCGGTCCGAGTGTCCGCTGGCTGAGGCCAGGATCTTCCCCTTCCTCCACTCCCAGATACAAACCGTGTTCTTGGGGTCCAACCCGACCGACACCAACCGCTGCAGAGAAACCGAGACCGGAGTCAGGTTCTGCTGGGTCGGAGCCAGACCTGCTGTTTGGGACCAGAAGCCCCGACTGGACTAACTCAGTGCTTCTCAAATAGTGGGGCGGGCCCCCTTTGGGGGGCGCGGTGCGATAC